TTGTTATTTTGTTGATGTCATCTCTCAGATGTAGATCTATTTCCCCTCCTTTGCTTCCTCCTGGGAGATAGACTGAGAGGATGTGACAACTATCCGTGTCATTGATGAAGACTTTGATTCCAATGCATTCCATTAGTTTTGTGTTGTAGCTTGGTTGAAGCTTATGTTTTAGATTTCTTTTTACGATGATTGCAACACCACCCTTTGGTCTATCTACGCGATCCAATCGATGAATTACGTAGTCTGGATGCGAGTCAATTTTTGAGTTTGGTTTTAGGAATGTTTCTGAGATGCAAGCAACATCGACGTTTTGCTTGCTTAGGTAGTCGAGAAATGCTAACATTTTGTCAGTGAGGCCGTTAGCATTCCAGTAGAGGACGTTGATACTTTGTTGTCTACAATCCATTATTGTATGCGGTGTTTTTGGCACTTGAGCCGATTGCTTGGAGTATTTCGTCGATGAACTCTGGATTTTTGGCGATTAATTTGAGAAGCTCGCTGATAAGGTACTTGCACTTTGATTCCTCTATTTCTGAGATGTTTTTATCTCTTGTGCTGGTGCTTTGAGCTTGTTGATTAGTTGTTATGTTTCGATTCACTACCTCAACACTGAATGAAGGTTCTGGGAAGACTTCATTCGAGGTCTGACTTGTTGCACTGATGTCTTCTGAGTGCATAAGCTCAACATCTTGCTTTGGTTTTTGATGATGATTGTTATTAATGCGCTCGTTTTGCTTTTTTCTTTGATTCTTTTTCCAATGTTTTCCTCTTTCTTTATTGTTTTGTTGGTTGTTCAAGTTATTTTTATTTCCCTGATTTGAGGGTTTGTGATTTGGAGGAGGATTTGTGTTCCTTGGTTTGTGGTTGACTGGAACTTGTTTTTGATGAACAGGCTTTTGTGTACCAGATGTTGATGGTTCCATATACTCCTTTCTCCATTGAGGTTTTGGTGCATGTTGGACGTTTCTGGTTGATCTCTCAGGACGATGCGGTGTTGGAGGATTGTTTCTCCATTGTCCATATGAATAATGGCCTGCTGTTTTGTTTTGATTTTGGTTGTTTCCATTCTGTGATTTTGATTTCCATTTTTCAATTATTTCTTGTCTGGTTTTACAACCTGTGAAATTTGCTGTATGTTTTTCACCGCAGAAGAAACATTTGAGTTTTCCGAGTGGAACCTTGTTGGTCTCTTTCGATATGTACTGGCACGTTTTCGAGTCATGTTGCTCAGAGCATCTGAAGCAAACGGACGGTTTGTTACAACCGTTTTGTCCATGACCAAATTGCAGACATTTCGAACATTGAGATGGTCCAGCATGTCTATTTTTGTAGTCAGCCCATTTAATTTTGAACCTGCTGACAATTTTGAGTTTTCTGAGAAATTCCAGGAAGTTTCCACTTTGTCCTACATCTTTTTCGAAGTACACGAGGTAGTTCTGATCGTCGTCTTGTTCATGTCTTTTGTGTTTCATTGTCATCTTGAGAATTTTTACTGGTGTGATTTTTGCGGTTTGAAGTTCCTTCTCCAACTCACTGATTTCCATATCTGGGAGTCCATAGAGTACGTACTTCTTCAGTGATTCTTGGCTGGAGTATGTGTGGAAGTGATGATTTTTGTCTTTGAGTAGTTGGATGAATTTCTCGTAGTAATCCCAACCATCCGTTGTTACCGTTTTTGTTCCTTGTTTGTCCTTTTTGGTCTCAATTAAAACCAATTTGCGGAGCGATTTGTAAACACGTCTGTTCACGTTGAGATCTAGTTTGCAACTGTCGAAAAGTTCTATTTTCATTTAATAAAAGAAAAATTGGAATTCTTAACATGGCACAGTCGTTAGTATCGATAGAGAAGTTCAATTTTGAAACATCATCACTAGGATGTGAGTGGAAGCGATTCTCAACGGAATGCAAGTCATATTTGGTGATAAATTCAATGGAAGAACTTTCTGACAATATAAAGTTGCATTATTTGACGTTGTTGATGGGCTACAAGTCAGTGGATCTAATCAAGAATCTCCAGATAACAGATGCAGATAAGAAAGTCCTCAAAAAAGTGTTTAAGGGAATTGAAAGTTACTTTCTGCCAGCTTCAAATTTTCTAATTTGAAATTTCGTAACCGTGTACAGCAAGGAGGTGAACCAATCGATTCATGCATCAACGCAACACTCAAATTAGCAGAACAATTCCTTTGATGTAAACATAACTTAAGCTGAAAACCAAAAATTGAGACAGACTAAATAAAATAATAATAATTCAATAGCTTTAAAAACGAGGCAGTTCCTGATAAAATCATTTTTGGCTTACAAGACAGCAATTTGAAAGAAAAAATCATCTTAGGTGAAGATAAATCATTGAACATTGTGATTAACAAAGTCAAAATTTTTTATCACCATCAAAAAGAATTCAACGAAATCAAAGAATGCTCAAAAATAGTGCTTCATTCTTAAATGACTTTATATTTTACATTTTCAGTCTTCAGGCACTAAAGGAACTGATCGGTTCCGGAAAAAAAATTTTTTGTTTAAGAATGTGATTCCTTGATTAAAAAAGAGACAAAAATTTTTGGATATAAAGTAACTGGGCAGTTTCAGTGTCTAATCATTCCTCTGGCTAAGAAAAACAAACGTATAGTAGGAGGACCTTAATTGCATGTATTAAGAGCTATTTAAATTTCAATTCTTTGTATTTGAAAAGAAATTTTAAAAACAAAATTATTGATGAAACAAAAATTGACATTGGATACACCAAAAAGTTCTCATTTGGTGAATCACCTTATCATTTTCGAGCATTATCAGAATATGTTTATAAACATTTGCGGTATTTCATTTTCATATATCTTAAACTAGAAAAAGATTTGTTTCAAAAAAAGAAACAAAGAAAACAGAAATATGTTAGAAAATGAAAAAAAAACCGATATTAACAAACGGAAAAAATTCATTAATGTCGGTAAATTTTGTAAGAAATTTAAAAAAATTTATTATGCCAAAATCAAGTGAAAATATAAATTAGGAAAAAATAAATTAACACGTAATATAAAACATACATATATGCTTTCTTTGTAAATGATTTCTTATGTTTTATTTCTATACCTCAAGTTTGTTCTTAAATTCCAGTTTTTCTTTATGTTATTACCCTACATACAATATAATAGGTTTTAAGCATTATATTTATTTATTTTTATTATTATCACATCGACTGATAATCAAGCTGAATATAAATTTGTCGAACTCCGACGGATTCAAAAATTATCCTTGTATGATTAATGACGTACTTGCTGTCGACATTTTTGCTAACCTCGAGTTTAATTGCACCAACATAAAAGTCACTACATAAAGTCCAAAAATGAGGCTCTTGTAAGGAATAAACTCCAGCCAATCCAGTTACTTTCTGATAGCATTCGGGTAAAACTCTATCTAATGCAACCGGTTGTCGTTGCATTAGGACCATTATGGATTCACTTATGAGAGACAAAACACTTAGAGCAATTAATATAGCTATAAACATACTACAAATTGGATCGGCAATCATCCAACCAAATAAATACATAAGAACTGATGAAACGATTACTCCTACGGAACCAAGTGTATCCGCTAAGATGTGAAGAAAAACACCTCGCATAATTTGAGACTTTTCGATATCAAGACTATGAGAATGTCCATGATGACTGTTTTGATTATTTAGTAAAAGAACAGTGCTTTCTTCGTCGTGAATACTGTTGGAATGATTGTTGTGACTGTGATTATGAGAATGTCCTGAAGAAAAAAAAAAAACAAAATAAAATATTTTTCTCTAGTGAAATGATCGAGTTCATGCCATGATTTGATGATTCTCCTTGATGAGAATGTCCATGTCCTCCATGTGAATGGCCATGCTGGAATGCATAAATTCCTACCAAATTGACAAGGAAGCCCAGCACAGAAACAACAAACAGTCGCTCATGTTTGACCTAAAAGTTTAAAAGTCATTATACGGATTGTATTAAATTTTCATTGCTCATCAACTCACTTCGGGTGGCTCGATTAAGCGCTCGACGCTCTCGGACATAATGAAGAAAGCAATAAATAGGAGAAATAAACTATTTACAAATCCTGCTAAAACTTCGGCTCGAACATAACCGTAAGAATATTTATCATTTGCTTTCCATTTTGTGATAACAGATGCCGCAAGACCAGCTAACAGACCAGTACAGTCAAAAAACATATGAAACGAGTCTGATATCAATCCTGTTTGATAGAAGAAAAGATAAATAATTGTCAATTTTCTACATACATGATATATCTCAAAGAAATGCCGACTTTTTGCGGGTTAATATATGATACCATCTAAGATGAATTCAGCTACTCTTGCACTACGTAGGTATTTTTCATTGGCATACACAATTTAAATCAAAAGCCGCGCATCTAAAAGTTTGAACTGATGATAGGTATTGTAAACGAATTTTTGAAATTTGCCCAATTTTATGGATATGCCAATGATACATTTTTAATCACTCAGCGAAAGGTGTATATGTGGAAGCTCTAGTATGATATAATTACCTAAACTATTTGACCACACGCCATAGAATAGTTCAACAAAGGCAAATGATAAGTTTAGAAGAAGAAATAAGAACAAGTTTCTTGAATTTTTGTCACTAAAAATTAATCGTTTCCAGGAATGAAGTTTCTCTCGAATTCTAAATCCAATACCTCCTCTTGGATCTTTATGTGACAGGGGAAGCATCTTGTTAAAAGCTATAATTTAAAAAAATATGAATAATGTCTTTATTGCCACGTTATCATTCTTTAATCAGTAAGCTGTACACTATATGATGATTACTATACCTTTAAACAGTGTACTGTCTAGTCAATGTTTTAATATTTATTTATCCTTTATTTATTAGTTCTTAATTGCTTCATCTTTATTTAAAATAATTATTATTATTCGTGAATATTATTTTCTGTGTATATCAGTCACATAAGTTACAAGCCCCTCTTTTTAGCACATAGGTAAGCAATTCCATGGAATGGCTTTTTCAAAAAATTCGTCTTTGAAATTTTTTCAATTTTTCTCTTTATTAAGCTATCTAGACGTTCCAAGGACCAAATGTACTTATGAAAGACGAAATTTTGACGACAGGGTTGACGCTTCAGAAAGCATATATATTTTGATAGGTCTTTTGTTGCCATTTTATCGGGCAAGCGGTGAAATTTGGGGAATGGCTATACGGTTTGCGAGATTCTCGAGGTTTAGTAGATCTTTTACCTCCAAATATAACAGCAACTTTTAAATCCCTTATTCTCTAATTTTGATGCATAAAAAAGTATCATGTGCATATAGGTCCGTTGGCTTTAAATAATGCGCTTCTTTCGTCAGTTCACACTTCTATACTAGTATTTTTTTCATCAACTGAACGAACAATTTTTCCAAACGCCCTTTTTCTGAACGTATGCAAGATGGTAACTTGTGATTTTTTATATTTATATAAAAATATGTGTTTAATTAATAGTTCCATAAGTAAAAAGCATATAATTATTTAGTTTTCAAGCATCGTAACATCAATAGCATGGTGAATTGTTGAAAAACCCTTGCAGTATTATATAAATTGTGTTGTTACAAAAATCCATGTTGTGCATAAATTTCTAAGTTCCATTAAAACTAATGCTCCTTTAAAAATACGGAAACTAATTCATTATAGTTATACTGATGGACAATTAATTGAACATTCTATTTATTTTCTCATTTTAAGCGTTTTTTTAAAAGTTATGTTTGTGAAAGTTATTATAACCTATATTATTTTTTTTTGTAGCCTCCAAAAAAGGACACTAAGGGATCGGCTAAACAGCCACAGAAAACACAAAAAAAGAAGGAAGGAGGAGGTGGTGGTGGAAAAGCCAAAAAGAAGAAGTGGTCAAAGGGAAAAGTTCGTGACAAGTTGAACAACCAAGTTTTATTTGATAAAGCAACTTATGATAAATTGTATAAGGAAGTTCCACAATACAAACTGATTACTCCATCAGTAGTTTCTGAAAGATTGAAAGTTCGTGGATCATTAGCAAAGAAAGCCCTTATCGAACTTCGTGACAAAGGTGATTTCTAATTCATTAACTCGTTTAAAATTGTTGAAATTTATTAATGTTTTATTTTTTAAAAACTCTAGGATTAATTAAACAAGTCGTTCACCATAACGCTCAATTAATCTTTACAAGAACAACCAAAGGCGATGATCCAGTTGCTTAAGCTATTGTAAACGTTTATGCAGGCATTTCCAACATGATTTGTCTCCAATAAAGAAATACTGAAAATATAAATATTAGTGTCTTTTTCCAATTTTTCGATCAAAAAAGATTTATCAAGTTTACAGATTAAAATGACACCGCAGAACAGTCCTAGAATCTAGCAACAATGCAAATTTGCAACACAATGTTTCTGCTAATTATGAGAGAATTGGGTCTGTTGCTTCAAAACTCGTCGTAATTATTTCGGATCACTCACACATTGAATCTTGTTAACATTCTTTTCTCTCTGTTAATACTTCATACTCATTATTATCTGAACTTTTGAATGAATAGGTATCAATCTCAAGAAAAAAATTAAAAGCAATTGATTCATACTTTTTAATGCCAATTATTTTATTAAGTGTATATAAGAATAGTGAATCATTTGGCATATAGAAAATAAGCTTTTGAAAAAATTAACTATGAAGGATATTTCAATATTAAACATCTATGTGTAAGTGTTTAAAATGTTAAAATTGTGACTTTTTAAAAAAGAAATCATACGTGAAAGAGAGACTAAAATGCCAAAAAAAAATACACCAATATTCTTGTAAAATGTGTGACATAAGCATCTTTAAAATAAATCAACCCAACTAATATAAATAATAATCATTCATATTAAAATAGATAAAACAAATTTAAATTTGCTGAATGTTGATTAAATGCTTCATGAATGGCAATAAAACAAATTTATTATTAATGTTAAAAACAGTAGGAGATCATAAAATTGGATGATGACATTAATTTTGTTTTTAGTGAATCGATTATACGTTAGCTCTTATCTTTTTTTTTTCTTTTTCAATTCAATAATTTACACGCGGAATAAACACACTTCAACGTCTTGAAACATAGATAAGATAGGTCTTATTTGTAAGCAATTTTATTGACAATTTGCTTTCTACAAATGTGTTTAAACAGTCAATATTTTATTTTATAACTTCTAAAATTTACACTTCTAAAGAAACTTCAATTAATTGATTCATCGATGACTAGCCAGCTTTTTTTCTGGTCCAAAGTTTTAGGCTTAGTGTTATTATTATTGATATGAAATATCAAGAAAATTAATAAAAGGCTTTTATAAATTCTTTTTTTTTCATTCCAGATGATTTTCATCTCCTAATGTAAACTTCAATAATTAGTTGTTCAAGTAAACAATTTAAAAAAAAAATAGGAAATTCAATATTTTCATATAGCAACGATGAGATATCTTACAGTTTCAATATTTGTATGCCTAAGCGTTCAAATATATGCTTTTAACTCTATGATACAATGGCAAGGGCCATGTAATTTTATGGACACGATTAATATAACAGGTGGATATAAGAATGACAACAATAGTTTTATATATCAAGGAGTTACTTATGAATATGGAACGTATGGTCTTTACGGATACATCATTGAGAATCAAACAGAGAAAATAAACGTCCCTGCACACTACAGAGGATGTGTTTGCAAGTACAAACCTTGCCTTAGAGTATGCTGTGTGGAAGGTCTAGGGTTGAACGGACAGCATCCATCATGCATTAAAACAAACACTCTTCAGGTTTATACACAAGATAATGATGAAACCCTTATTGATATTGAAACCCATGAATACGGACTTTTGATTAACCGACCTTGTGGGAAAATGTACGAGCTTGAACCCACTGATTATACAGAAGATCAATGGTTCTTTCTTAAGGTGAGCTTTTTAAAAATATTTTTGCTATCCAAAACAGAAAAATATTTTTTTTGGTTTTTAAAAAATTTAAATTGCAAAACTTTTTGGCTTAATAGAACAATTTATGAAAGCACATGGCCTGAAATATCAAGCAAAAAAACACGACTTATGTAGAAAGCCACAGACTTCTACGCTTGGAATCTAAAATTACTGAAACATTAAAATTTGATGAAAAAAGAAAATTTCATTTACATTTTTTTCGTGCTATTCAGATTAAAATGCAAAATTGCTATAAAATCATTAAGAATTTTAAAGAATTAATTATGGGCAAATCCACGAAGCTGAGGAATTACAAAAAATCGCACTGTAATTATTCCTCTACTTAACAATGATTCAGAATCGAAAAAAATGTTCAAAAATTAAAAAATTTCATGTTAATTAAACTATGTCCTTTAAATGCCAGATTAAAGATCTTAACTTGAGGCATATCCTATGAAAATATCTCGTCCTAATTTGATGTCTAACTCCAGAAATCATTAATTTAATCTCACCCAAAATTTGTTTACAATTTGTGTATGAAAAAAAAAATATGATTTTTTCTACTTTAGGTTGTTATTTGGATGTCTTGGAAGCAGTTGCTAGCTAATTTAAGCTTTGCTTTACATATTAAAATAACCAACTCAATAAAAATCTGCTTATTAAGCCTTAAAAATGGAATTGAAATCTGAGTATTTTTACACAACTTAAACTATTCATAAGTTAAAAAGTCTTCCAAAGACCTCTCTGAAACCTATATAAATCCATTAATTAAGTTTAAATCTATCTCCCATATTACTGGGGACATGCCGTTTGATGCCGTTTACGAGATATTTGCGATCAAAGTTTACATAAATTTTCATACAAAATTTGATCATGCACAATATTTTTTGATAAACTTTTACAAACTTTTGGTAAAAAATCATGTCTTTCCTTTATATTAAGGACTGATTTTTTGAGCAAAGAACGAAAACATTATCTAGAAGATGCTAAAAGAATCAAATCAAGAGAAATTAACAAAAACTTCCAATTTTCTAATGTGTTGGAAAAATATTGTGCACAAGAAATTTTTGAACATTTTTTCCGAATCTGAATCATTGTGTACTTGCTTAAATTTTTTTTGAAAAATAGAAAACCGTTATTATTTCTTTATCTTTTTATTGAAAATAATCTTAAAAATTAATTTAAAGCACAGTTAATATTATTTAAAAGCCATTAAAAGGCATCGGAAACATCTATTTAATTAAAATTTAATTAATTATCGAAAATTGAATAAGATTTGAGCTCGAAAATGTCAACAAATTTTAACGGAAATTTGTAATTCAAATATTTTAACGGTTATGAAAAATTTGAACTAGCATATTCTTATGTCAAAGCGTTTTGTGTGACTCAGGAAGAAAATTTTCAAGAAGTTAATTAATTTATCAGCAAATTTCCATTAAGCATCTACATTTTGCTGAATTATCTAATGCTACAACATGAAAGGAACAGATCTTGTTGATCAATGTCGCTTAAAAACTTATATTTTTTGAGATAATTGAATTTTTCGATGTTTGCCGCTAAAATGTGACTCAGGAAGATTTACAAAAAGTCAAATTTCTCTTTAATTAACGATTATAGAGAAGCAAATTTTTTTTATGGTCTTCTATTCACATTATTGCATTTATTAAAACATTCAATCTTTTTGAATAATGTGACATAAGAGAGAAATAATTACTTTAAATTGAAAAATTTTGTAAAAAAAAATTTTTTGTTTCGTGGATTTGCCCATATTTGAAGGAAACTAAAATGCGGATATATTTACACCGTACCATCAAAAAATTTGAGGAAAGACCAAGTTTTGCTTATTTGAAAGTTTAAAGGTTTGACGGTTAAATGAAGATTTAAAAGCTTCTCGGGCTAGTTGAGCTTCGCTTACCATATGATTGAAGGTTTAAAGATAGACTGAATTTTTTAAAAATATTAAAATAGGAAAGTTTTTTGCATTTTCTGAATCGATGGCTATTCCTAAATTGCCCAAAAACAATACGACTCTTCTATAAGGCAGCACCGATCGAATGTAAAAAAAACTAGAAGTCTCTACGATGTCTTGCGCCATTTGCTCACAAAACTCAAAAAACTTATTTTTCAATCTGAACAAAAACAGTCCATTTACACGTGTTTACAGTGTGAATATAAAAAGAAATATCAGAGGTCAAAACGAAGCGAGGTTGAACCAACTTTCTTAGGGACCAAACAATATAAACATATGATGCAGTTTTAAATCACCCACAGACCAGAATCCCCACGCAAATTTCCCCAAAGCACCCACAAAACGAAAATCACGGGTTTCCAAAACCACCACTTGAAAATGTATTTGGTGTTTCTAGAAAACAGTGTATTTCATAAACACCACATATATTTCCAAGTGGTGGATAAAATCACACGTGTGTTTTTAATCACCACGTACAATTGCAAGTGGTGTTTCTGGAAACACATGTGTTTCATATTACCCGAAAATTTTGTCTGTGGGCGTTTTGAAGATCAGTGTAATATTTTTTAAAGTTTGAAAAATAGTGAACAAAATTAAATTTTATTCTCATTTTTAAATGCTACCTGAATTTTTGTATTTAAATAGAATAAAGTTTATCATTGAAACACGTTGGCGATTCCATGAATGAGTTGAATTCATCAAAAGTGAGTTATAATTCTTCTCGGACTTGAAATATAAAATTATTCTGTAATAAAATTCAACTTGACTTACACTTTATAAAACAGATTAAAATCTTCTTTTTTATTATATTTTCCAAAACATTATTCTAATCAAAGAACATGCTGTTATTAAAAGTAAAATTTAAAATTTTTGAAATAATTTTTCACGGATTTGGAAAAATAACGCTTTTGCGTTGCATTTGTACAAAAATTGAATTAATATTCTTCTATTTCCTGCTTAATAAGTGCTTTATAAAGAAAATTAGATATGCAGATTCATAAAACAAAGTGTAACAGACTGTAAATCAATAGTCAGAAGTAAATATTTTGTTATTTAAAGCCAATTGCAACAAAACGATAGAATTTACCGTTTTTCGTAAGTAAATTTGGTCCTTAGAACGTCTAGATAGTTTAATAAAGAGAAATATAGTTTCAATGACGATTTTTGAAGAAGTCAATCCATGAAATTGCCCACGTGCCCAACAAGTATAAAAATCCGTTAAATGTTAAAAATTGATAAATAAATTGTGCGGAAAAGTATGAAAATTAATTTTTAAAGCACTTCCAAAAGCTTTTTTATCCAGAAAAATTTTAAAATATTTATTTTGCAAGTGGTTCGGATTCCAATATAAACTGTAGGCAGGGTGGGAAGATTTTTTGCGATTTAAATCAAAATCTTTGAATTTATTTTTGATTTTGATTTAAATCTCAATGAAAAATGATTTTAAAAAGGGTTTTTAATTTTAATTATCTTTCCCAAGTGATTTTTTTCTCGATATTGATTTAAACCATTTTTTCGAAAGGATTTTTTGGGAATTTTGATTTAAATCTCTTGTATGAAAGATTTTATTGGGATTTTAAAATCCTTCCATGTAAAATTTTTGTATACAATTTCTCAAATTATTTTTTAAATCAACAGTTTTCTGTTGTTGAGTTATACGATAAGATCAAGATGCACTTATTCAAAATTTTGTGATCGATTTTGACTAGGATATAAAAATTTATCAAATAAACTCTGAAAATTTAAATCCAAATGGGCAAATCCGCGGGCAATAAAACGCTTCAAAATTTTGTTTTTCTTAAATTTCTCTCCTATTTGACTTTTAAAGTAATGTTTTAATACCAAATCACGCGTAATTTTCAAAAATGAACAACTTTTGATACTTAGCACAAGATTAAAACATTTAATTAAAGAGATATTTTGAATTTAATAGCGTTAATCGATCCTGCGCACGAAAATTTCATTTTGAAAAATCCAAAAAAAATACATGTTTAACGAGTTAGACAATATGGCTTGCAAGTTATTGCATTGGAAATGCAATTTTGTATCATAAATTGACATCATTTCTTAAATATACGTACTCAATTTAAAGTAATTAACAAAAAATAGCGTTAATCGATCTTGCAGAACGTTTTATTGCGAAACTCAAGATAATGCATTGTTGCAAAACACACAATAATATTTAAAATTTTAGAAAACGTTGGAAAATTTTCAGTCCTACAATTCATACATTATCATACATATAACTGTGCTGAACATATATTAAACTTTAATTATAAACTTTTCTGCAATAATTTATTGATAAAAACCATCCAAAATAATTTAAGCAACAGAATAATAACTTTTTCTGAAGAAATTTTAACGTATTTTATTTTTTTGAATTCAAACAAGTAGAAAAATATTACAACTCGCTTTTTCCCAGTTCATGCTTTCTGCGGATTTGCCCAAATTCTTTGCAACCCAGAAGAAGTTATTTTCTCCTTTTTAGTCCACGCGAAAAACGTGTTTTTTTAAAAAAGCTTTCTTTATGAAGTATTTTATTATACTTGCATGTGTTTGAATCATGAAAAATATTTAATTTGAATGCAAAAATTAAGTTTTTTTTTTTGGAAACCCGCGATTTTCGTTTGTGGGGTCTTCGGGGAAATTTGCGTGGGGATTCTAAACTGTGGGTGAATTAAAGCTGCATCTAAATACATACATATTGAGATAAGTTATTAAAAATAATATTATATATGTACCCCCTTGGTATTATGCTTTCCAGATACCGAAGTCGAGACTATTATTAAAAATGCTGAACACTAATCTTTTTTTGAGTACCTATAAATGATAATTTTCAGAGCTTTTCCTAAAAATTTGTGATAAATGTTCTTCTTTTGTAAGGGGCCATTCACTTATTACGTAATGCTTTTAGAAGGAGGGGGGGTCTAAGATTTTGTTACGGTTCAAACAAGGAAATTTTTTTTTCATACAAATTTTGTTACGAGGGGGGGGGTCTAAGAAGTCATTTTTTCGCGTTACGTAATAAGTGAACAGCCCCTAAGATATTACATATGCACAATGATTCAGATTCGGAAAAAATGTTTAAAAATTCCTTGTGCACAATATTTTTCCGACACATTAGAAAATTGAAAGTTTTTGTTAATTTCTCTTGATTTGAATCTTTTAGCATCTTCTAGATAATGTTTTCGTTCATTGCTCAAAAAATCAGTCCTTAATATAAAGGATAAACATGATTTTTTACCAAAACTTTGTAAAAGTTTATCAAAAAATATTGTGCATGATCAAATTTTGTATGAAATCCTGAAAATTACTTCTTAGACCCCCCCCCTCGTAACAAAATTTGTATGAAAAAAAAATTTCCTTGTTTGAACCGTAACAAAATCTTAGACCCCTCCTAACGAAAACCTGATTAAAACTATTAAAAACCGAATTTGAAAAAAATTTAACACCTCATTTTTCAAATTCCGATAGCTTAGTAAGGAAAATAACAATAAGTTTAATTATAAATAGACGTATAATATTTACATCTAGTCGTTGTGTATTATTTTGAGTGAAACTTTTAAGCAGCTATTAAAGTTTAGACTTCCCGGGAAGTCTCGGTCTCGGTCTCAGTCTCGAAAATAAGTCGAGACCGAGAAATCGAGAAAGCATGCTTGGTATGCATGATACAAAGAAAGAGTTGAGGCCCAAACACACTATTTAAACTTCACTTATTACAACGAATTTTTTAGGAAAGTGGGACGATTTGTATTTCGCAAAAACTAATACTTACACGCTTGGAAGTTACTTACAAACTTTCATACAACTTTTGAAATGTTTGAAAAATAAACACTCTTCTATAAATAAATTTATAAGAAATATTTTACATATTTACTTTTTCAGAACGGATCAATTTTAGCTGCTTCTGGGGTTTCTGACACAAACGATTATTGCTTCGGACAAGTTTATAATAGCTCTGATCCGGACGAAATTTTAACTAAAGTATTGCTGTGTTTTCATCCTTCAAACGATGTTAGATTTTCAGTTTATCCGATTGGTAAGATTTTAAAATATATGTTTAATGTGATTAATCATAGCTGCTTTTAATAATTGATAACCAGATAAATTTTTAAACAATAAAACACCATCACTTATTCTTTTCCGATAAGGTGCTTAGTAAAAAATATTTATTTTTATGCCATTCATTATGCTGTCATCCGTATTAGGATAACAGTTGTTTATCGAAATTGTTTTAACTCTTATCAGAAAACGGGTAAACGATTTGTTTTACGAAGTCGACTTTTTTTGGGTCGCTGGATGGAAGTTTTGTGGTCATGATTTAAATTTATAAATGAAGTTTAAGTCATTCCTATTGTAAAGCAAAAAATAAAATTATTTGTTCAAATTTATTGTTAAATCTAAATTTTCTACCCAGTAAGTTCTATTAATCATATATTTACACGCTTTTATTTTATCGTATTAATAATAATCAATGATGATTTAGAGAAAGCCATCAATTAGGGTTGATAATGGAGCACATGAAATTTTTATATGAATATTTCATGTATTTGATCTAATCATTTAATATTAATTTCTATTGAAAGTATATTTTAATGGCTTTTTCTGTTTCTTTTTTTTGGAAAAAGCAAATATGAAATTTAAATTTTTTTTCGTTTCAGGAATGTTATTCTCAATTCCGTTTTTAATCATAACATTTTGTGTATATGGTAAATTTTTGTTTATGATTTATTTTTATTACTTTAATATTGCCTTTTTAATTATTTAGCATTCATTCCCGAGCTACGGAATCTTCATGGAAAGTGTTTGATGTGCTATGTTCTTAGTCTTACCATATTGTATATAAGCTTATCTGCTGTTCAACTTGATAGAGAAAATGTTTTACTTGAAACAATACAGTGTGCCGTTTTTGGATTTTCGATATATATATGCGTCCTTTTATGCTTTTTCTGGTTAAATGTTATGTGCTATGACATTTGGTCAACATTTAGGTAATTACTATCATGTTACACTGAGAAAAAATTCAATATTCATTATCATTACTGTAATATTAGAGGAGGAATAAGTCGAGGACGGGGTGGCGACAGTAAGAGATTTATGTTCTACATGATGTACGCATTTGGGTTCCCACTAACAATTTCAACAATAGTTTACATCATTGACATTTACAAACTAGTGCCCGAAAACTTGTTGCCAAAAATTGGTATCAAAAGATGCTGGATGCAAAATGAGCGCATAGTTGAAGCAATTTATGTTTATTTTCCAATATCTATTATTATGGCTATAAACATAGTGCTCTACTCTATTACTGCTTATAAAATCTGGCGTGTGCAAAAAGAAACAAGTGTAATACGTCACGGAGACAGTCAAAAGCATTCTAAATTAGAAGCTGACACGGATAGGTGCATACTTATATTTGGGCAATTCCATGAGTGAGAAAATCGAAAAAAAATAACTTTTTCGATTGCATTTTTTGCCATAATTTTGAAATTTATCATGATTTTATACATTTATCATAAAGCTAAACCTTTGGTGTTTGATTAATTAAAGCGGTTCTAAATTGAAATATATACAATATAATGTGAGTTTCACTTCATATTATACTGTAATTAACGAGAAAACAGTTTCAAACAGTTAACATTCAACCGATTATTGCATAACAAAATTTTTTGTTTATAACTTTAATTAACGATTCTTGACTATTTTGGTTCATAATCATAATCAGATTGAGAAACGACGAAAACACATGTTTATAATGAGAAACATCGTTTTTAATGTGTAGGGTAAAAAATCTATTTTTTGCGGTATTTGCTCCAGATAAAAAAATCAACTTTAAGCTGCATTAATCAACCAAATTTTTATACAGACATCTTAATAATGCCAAATAAAGCACGTACTTTGAATATTAAGTCCCTACATGCTTTATTTAATTAAATTTTTATGATTTAAAATTGCAGGTGAAACAGTTAATTTTTGATGCTTTTTTTGGACCTTATTTTCCATCATTTCTTTTGTGACTTTTCACTTAAAAGTGGGTTTAAACCATAAATTAAACTATGCTTTTTATAATTTAGTAACAAAATCCTCATAAACTTAGTCATATTTCTTTAAAACCGTGATTTATTTGATGTAAAAATCCATTCTATTTTTTGCGGTAAAATTTTTTGTTTTTTGCGGTATTTTTTCTTGTAGGGAAGCATCTGAAAAGTTAATACTCCCCTGTTCAATTTAAATTTGAAAAATACGTTAAAATGTATTGAAATTTTATTTTTTCAAATTAATGCTTTTTTGCTTATCTAAATGACTCAGTATTGATATCTTTTAATAAAGAGACACCAGAGATTATGAAAAAGTTATTAGCAGGTAAAATATATTAAGAATTAATGAAATTTCGACTACGGCAAAAAACAAAAAAAAATACCGCAAAAATCAAAAAATGTACCGCAAAAAATAAAATAGACAAAAAAATAAGTTTTTTGAAGAAACTTTAAAAATAAATCAATAAAGTTTTATCTGCATTTATAAAACTCATCTTCCTTGTTATTTTGCTCTATATTTCATTGAAAAAGAGTGTATCAGTAAAAAGTTATGAGCATTTAAAGTAGGCGAGAACAAGAATACCGCAAAGAATAGATTTTTTTCCCCCTAATTATGCTCAATTTTAGCAAATTTTAGAGTTGACATTTTGGTGAAAAATTCTTCATGGAATGGCCCTTTATTGTTTTTTTTTTAATTAAAATTTATTAATTAATAATTTTAAATTTAAAATTTGTTTTCTAACACTCAGATTTTTCCTTTATTTACGATTGTTCATTGTAATGGGAGCAACGTGGAGCATGGAATCAATTTCATGGGTATTTGAAAACAACATAATTTTCTACGTGAGTGACTTCCTTAATTGCGTGCAAGGGTTTATCATATTTCTGCTGTTTGTGTGGAAACCGAAAATTAAAAAATTAATGGTTAAAAGGTATGTTTTTAAAAAATATTACTTATGTAGATTGATAGCTATTTGTTTATCTGTCTCTTTCACATTCATTTTAATACATTTTTTTTTTATTTGAGTCGAAATTTTCACTTTTTATTAACGTATTTATGGTAGTAATATTTCTGTAGTTTATCGTCCATTTTTAAAATACATTGATCTCAGTAATTAACGAATCTTAAGAAATTGAAGAAAAAAATTGTATTTCCTTAATTCATTTATAAATATATCTGGTTAGAGTTCGTTCACTTATGACCTCCGGGAATCAGGAAGGGGGAGGGGGTTCGAGGAAATCAATTTTTTTTACATCATGAAAACTTTTTTGTTTTCAAAATAGTTTCCTGCCTGCTTCATTACCATTAAATTATACTCCAAATGTAATAATTGCTTCTCCTAGTGTTAACAATGTGAAATTTGCAAGCCTTTATCAAAATTTCACTATTAACCTGTGTTAAAATGAATACTGGGGATCCTCGATTTGAGTAGTTATTTTGTTCCAAAAATTTTGTACTCAAATCGAATCTAGGGCGATTCCATGAGTGAATTTTTTTTTTCTCAACTCAATTTTTTGTAAATATTTCCTCAATTAACTTCATTTAACGCCATATTTAAGATTTATTTTATTTATTATTATGGTATTTATGTATTTAAGTGCATAATCTTTTAGTTAAATCTGTCTGACAAAAGATATTTTAAAAAAACCAAACTTAATCGGTCAACTTTACAAAAAATTGATTTTTAAATTTTCATCAATATTTCTTTGAATATCCATTGTTGTGTTACAAATCTATGATAAACACACGTGAAATCGCCTGTGCTTTATAACAATATCTTATTTGTATGTCTTTCTACTGTAATTAAGGAGAAAATTGGGGAAAACACCACTTAATCGGTCAACTTTCAACCGATTATTGCAAAACATATTACATATTTTTGTCAAAATGCAGCATAATTAAGACGATTAAATGCTAATAACACATGAATTGATGAATAATAAGTCTTATTTAGTGAAAAGATATGTTGAAATATGTATATTTAAGCAGAAAAAGCTAAAAAAGTTTTTGAAAAAAAAATTTTCAGTTTCATTTACCCATGGAATCGCCCTCTATTCAAATCGAGGCAAGGAATCCATACAAAAAAAAAACTTTTCTTTTTTTACCACGTTTTTCTTAACTTGCTTTCTTGTTTGTTTGTTTGTTTGTTTGTTTGTTTGTTTGTTTGCAAAAAATTTCAAATCTTGCGATCAATTTTTCGACTACTTCTCCTGCTCCAATCGAGCTGAAATTTTGCATGCACTTATCATTCCGGTGACAATACAATATTCAAGCATTTCGGAAACTTAAAACTGCTTAATTATAGTACAATTAAATTAAATTTTTTATTCTTTATGGCTTAGCATATTTTTACATGACAAATGAACAACTTTCAATAATTTTAAATTTCAAAAAGCCGTTATGAGTTTGAATCGCAAAAAATTCGATACACGACTTTCTATGGTTTAATTCTAGTTATATTCACACAGTGTTGCATTCTGGCTATTTGTCTGGATCAGATAAATTCTGAGACAGAAATTTCTTCATAAAATCGATTCTACATGTAGAAAGAAAAAAACCATCTACATGTAGATTGTGTCTACATGTAGAATCTGTCTACATGTAGATTTAATGTAGATGTCTACGATTCTACATTCTTCTCTGATGTAGACCTGGAAAAAATGTAGAATTATAGACATCTACATCGAATCTACATGTAGACAGATTCTACATGTAGACACAATCTACATGTAGATGTTTTTTTTCTTTCTACATGTAGAATCGATCTTTATGAAGAAAGTTTCTTAGCTAGACAAAAATTATTGAAGAATCTACATTCTTCATCTAGTGTAGACATCTACATTTGCAACACTGTATTCACACCGTTTTCACGTGTGAATCTATTGGTTTTGTTCAGATTGAAAAATCAAATTTTTGAATTTTATGAAAATATGGAGCAAGATAGCTTAAAATGATCAGAGATGAAAAGTTTGTGCCTGGAATTTCACATCTTTTGCAAAAAACAGATTTCAAATTGGTTGCGGCATTGCTGAGAAAATCGCAAAATACGCTTTCTGTAAGCAAGCAAACAAGCAAACAAGCAAGTTAATCAGCAAGAAATCTATACAAATTTTTGCTGTGCGATAGCACAGCTGATCAATGGAGACTTTCTATGGTTAAATTCTAGTTTACAAACTTATGCTGTGCGATAGCACAGCTGATCAATGGAGACTTTCTATGGTTAAATTCTAGTTTACAAACTTATGCTGTGCGATAGCACAGCTGATCAATGGAGACTTTCTATGGTTAAATTCTAGTTTACAAACTTATGCTGTGCGATAGCACAGCTGATCAATGGAGACTTTCTATGGAGACTTTCTTTGAATTGTTAAATTCTAGTTTACAAACTTATGCTGTGCGATAGCACAGCTGATCTATGAAGACTTTCAATGGTTTGATTCTAGTTTACAAACTTATGCTGTGCGACAGTACAGCTTATCGATAGATACTTTAAATAACTTTTTAAAACTAAAAAGTAGAAAATAAATACTTTATAAAAAAAACTTTTTAAAAAACCACGTTTTTACCCGTGGACTAAAAGTAGAAAATAACTTTTTTATTGGGTTCAAAGGATATTGGTTTGAAAAATTGAGATTGATTTGAAAGTTTTATACTAAAGTCATGACCATACATGAATTGCAAATTTGTTCACTTCGACCATATCGTATAGTTCAACATCTTAAAACGTGGCGCATTTTTATGAAATTTAAGCTCTACAAATATACAATATTAATGAATGCGCCCACGTTTTAAGATGTTGAACTATACGATATGGTCGAAGTGAACAAATTTGCAATTCATGTATGGTCATGACTTTAGTATAAAACTTTCAAATCAATCTCAATTTTTCAAACCAATATCCTTTGAACCCAATAAAAAAGTTATTTTCTACTTTTAGTCCACGGGTAAAAACGTGGTTTTTTAAAAAGTTTTTTTTATAAAGTATTTTTTTAAAAATAGCCTACTATGTTTGAAACCGAAAATGCTTTCAATTGCATTTTTAAACACATCTAGGTATTATAAATGATAAAGAATGCTAATATAGATATAAAATCGATATAATTTTTTTAAAAATAGCTTACTATGATTGAAACCAAAAATGCTTTCAATTGCATTTTTAAACACATCTTAGTATTATAAATGATAAAGAATGCTAATATAGATATAAAATCGATATAATTTTTTTAAAAATAGCCTACTATGATTGAAACCAAAAATGCTTTCAATTGCATTTTTAAACACATCTAGGTATTATAAATGATAAAGAATGCTAATATAGATATAAAATCGATATAATTTTTTTAAAAATAGCCTACTATGATTGAAACCAAAAATGCTTTCAATTGCATTTTTAAACACATCTAGGTATTATAAATGATAAAGAATGCTAATATAGATATAAAATCGATATAATTTTTTTAAAAATAGCCTACTATGATTGAAACCAAAAATGCTTTCAATTGCATTTTTAAACACATCTAGGTATTATAAATGATAAAGAATGCTAATATAGATATAAAATCGATATAATTTTTTTAAAAATAGCCTACTATGATTGAAACCAAAAATGCTTTCAATTGCATTTTTAAACACATCTAGGTATTATAAATGATAAAGAATGCTAATATAGATATAAAATCGATATAATTTTTTTAAAAATAGCCTACTATGTTTGAAACCAAAAATGCTTTCAATTGCATTTTTAAACACATCTGGGTATTATAAATGATAAAGAATGCTAATATAGATATAAAATCGATATAATTTTTTTAAAAATAGCCTACTATGATTGAAACCAAAAATGCTTTCAATTGCATTTTTAAACACATCTAGGTATTATAAATGATAAATAATGCTAATATAGATATAAAATCGATATAATTTTTTTAAAAATAGCCTACTATGATTGAAACCAAAAATGCTTTCAATTGCATTTTTAAACACATCTAGGTATTATAAATGATAAATAATGCTAATATAGATATAAAATCGATATAATTTTTTTAAAAATAGCCTACTATGATTGAAACCAAAAATGCTTTCAATTGCATTTTTAAACACATCTAGGTATAATAAATGATAAAGAATTCTAATATAGATATAAAATCGATATAATTTTTTTAAAAAAAGCCTACTATGATTGAAACCAAAAATGCTTTCAATTGCATTTTTAAACACATCTGGGTATTATAAATGATAAAGAATGCTAATATAGATATAAAATCGATATAATTTTTTTAAAAATAGCCTACTATGATTGAAACCAAAAATGCTTTCAATTGCATTTTTAAACACATCTAGGTATTATAAATGATAAAGAATGCTAATATAGATATAAAATCGATATAATTTTTTTAAAAATAGCCTACTATGATTGAAACCAAAAATGCTTTCAATTGCATTTTTAAACACATCTAGGTATTATAAATGATAAAGAATGCTAATATAGATATAAAATCGATATAATTTTTTTAAAAATAGCCTACTATGATTGAAACCAAAAATGCTTTCAATTGCATTTTTAAACACATCTAGGTATTATAAATGATAAAGAATGCTAATATAGATATAAAATCGATATAATTTTTTTAAAAATAGCCTACTATGATTGAAACCAAAAATGCTTTCAATTGCATTTTTAAACACATCTAGGTATTATAAATGATAAAGAATGCTAATATAGATATAAAATCGATATAATTTTTTTAAAAATAGCCTACTATGATTGAAACCAAAAATGCTTTCAATTGCATTTTTAAACACATCTAGGTATTATAAATGATAAAGAATGCTAATATAGATATAAAATCGATATAATTTTTTTAAAAATAGCCTACTATGATTGAAACCAAAAATGCTTTCAATTGCATTTTTAAACACATCTGGGTATTA